CCACTGACAGCGACTAAATCAATGCACCACCACCATCTTTATGAAACCTTTTGGCTGGACGATAACACTTCAAAGTAGAACTGGATGCAATCCGCCACACATTCTTATCGGGCTGCTCTCCTTNTCCCGGAACGAGTTCGGTGTTCGGCCAATGTTTTACACCGGGTACGTAATGCTCTGCCATGTTCGTATACTTTTGTTTAGTTCAACATCCTCGATGGTTACTGTCAGTCTTTTACAATTATATCCATTAAAGTCGTCTTGTAGTATTTATCATAATGCTGGTACTTTATGCCTTCAGTCTGTCTAGGATTCTCGTGCCATTACGACGAGACTGCACCTTGACGTGGTGTGATGGCTTGTCCCCACCTACATGACCCAACGAGCTACACAGGATGGCTTTTACCGAGCCAAAGATCTAATCATGCCTGGAAGGTCAGACGAAGTCCAGTCTCCTGGTCCTCCAGGTTAGGGGGTTCGACTTGAATTTGTGTTTCAGTCGGTAAAAGTAGTGGAAGAGTAATCAATCCAAGGTAATGGGTCTCCACTTCGCTTCACCCGCTGCCTTGCGGTTAGGTTCTTGTCAGAACTAAAGGCTTTGGCTGAGAACCCTAATCGTTCTTCTGCTTAGTGGCTGGACACCCGACAGTACCCGTCCATAAAGCTCCAATAAACACAAACAAAAAATATTTTCATACTGCATCAGTCGTCGCGCAGAATAATCAGGTCAAGAGATAGCTGTAGAGGAATGTTTCACCTAAGGTAGCTGCGTTTCAAATGACGGTAGCGTAGTCAATGAAGTAACCGCCCGCATTTCCAAGGCTCGAGCAGCTTACGCAGGATTGAAACACCTTTGATGCAGACGCGATGTTTCGTTGAAACTGAAAGGTCGTGTTTACTGCCTCAGCGTGCGGTCAGTTCTGCTCTGTGGTTGCGAGACCCTAAATTGGCGCGTGGGAGATATTCGTCGTCTAGAAGTATTCGACTGCAGATGTATACGTATTTTGGCGCGGGTTGGCTGGAGCGAGCTTGTAAGCAACTCTGAGGTCAGTCGTTGCGTATTTGGTAATGATTCGATGGCGAATTCGTTGTCCCATCGAATTCAGATTAGTCGGCGTCGCTGGTTAGGACGCTTATTACGCATGCCCACACATCCTCTGCCGCACCGCGCCCTATTCGCAGTTACAGCTCCAGGTTGGAAGAAACCGCGTGATGGTCAGCAGATGACGTTGAAGCGAGGCATGAAGAAATGCACAGAGCGATTAGATAGAGTCGGTGTCTCCCATCTTCCAGGTTGGGGTCCGAAAGACTCTACACTGGTTGACTGGAGACATTAAAGGATATGGCGACTGACCGACAGCATTGGCGCTCTTGTTGTCATTTCTTAACAAGGCAGAATGCTTGAAAAAAGGTATGCATGAACACTTCGATTGTGTGCTCTATGTTGAGCATAGAGGTTATTTTTCTTTGCCTCCCTCCAAGTAGTCCCTATCCCTCTCCATCTTGTGCTTTATCACTTGATTTGTGTACATTGTGAGCTTGGTAGCGATCATTGAAGTTCGCTTCACTGTATCTCGCTGTACGATGATGATGCTGCCAGATGGACGTAGGCGCGGGGTGCCTGGGGCTTCCTCTCGACGGCGGGAGAAGTATTCGCACTTCAGTGGGCAGCTACCGCCCGCTCCAGCTGGGCAGCCCCGAAGCACTAAGGCGTCCACGTTCCGGTTGTCTCATTGGGTGCATGAGGCTAAGGGCCGATCCCGAAAAGCGGACCGAGAATCGACGCACCAGCGAACAACACACTGAACCGAAACCCCAATGTCTTGCGTGACAAGTCTCTAGAAGCTCCCACACGGGTGCTTCATTCACGCTCCCGTGTTGGATTTACGCCCCACTGCCAGACTTTTGTCAGACTTTGGAATCGAAGACTCTGGTTAGGGTTCCCAAAGAAAAAACCCTTGGTCGGTTTGGGCAACCGCGAACTATACCGTGCCCAAAAGTCTTGGGTACTCCTTTGGAAAACCATCTTTCTCAGCAGTTAATTTGCTTTTCTCACTTCCAAACCCTAAGAGATGCATCCTGTTTGTGCCAACCTTGCGATATCACTCAGTGTTCGACTAATGAGGTCAACCACTCAGGGGCTATCAGATAATTGAAACCAAAATCTTCTTCCCACTTAGACTCATTACATGTCCACACTCTACTAGATCAGTTAACAAGCTGCCTTAGCTAGAACCCTTGAAACCTTCCATTTAGATGTATGCTGTCTCCGAAACACGCATATCAGACCCTGCTTCAATCATCTTGCGTTCTCCGGATCTAACTTCATCCTCTCGCTTCACTCCGTGTGTCAGGTCATTCGGTATCCGAAGCTCGTGGTGTTGCTGGTGTTTTGATTGCGCTGAGTATCAAGGCCAAGCGTTCACTTCTCAATTGATCC